AAGGAGCCTGATGGCTGTGTGAGGACACACTAGAGACAAGTAAGGTGACGGTTCAGGTTGCCTCATTCTTTAGACTTATCCACGAGAGGAGTCCTAAGTAGTTTGTGCCTGGTTACCCAAGCAGTCGATTTTCCTCCATATTGTGTAAGATAATATGCAGTTGCAGCAAGACAGCTACCACTGCACAAATCCAGGAACCACAGGACAAGCTTTAATTAACGTGCTTGTTTGTCCAAAAAATGGTTATGTTCACATCAGGAGCCAACAGTCAAAATAATCTTAAGATGTTTTGAAGAAAAAAATTTAGAGTGAAAAAGCCCCATTGAAAAATTATTGTTCTTTATCAGAGGAATAAAGACCTCACTGATCAAATAGCTTGAAAAATTAATAGATCAAGGATAAATGTAATTAAAGTTCAGCCTCTTAATAAGCTATTGTTGTCACAGCCCGGTTTGGATGTATCGCTCTTTTGTTGACATTTTTAATGCTTTCTCTGGATTACCCATACCTGACCAGCGTATGAAAGCTTGTTAAGCCTCCACGTGCTCAGCCTGGCCCTGGCTTTAACGCTGGCTCAGTGCAATCCCTGCTGCTGGCACAAGCTCTGCGGGACTTGAACCTTGCAGTGCTGGGCATTGTGTTTCTCACTAGTCATTCTATGGACTTACTCAAGTGTGTTTTACAAGCTTAGGGCAAATTTGTGAACGTCCAATTATCTATCTGTAACTTTTTTAAGAGGAGCCAACCAGGCTTGATTTTGTTTTGTTTTGTTTTGTTTTTTTCACAGGATCCTGGAGTATCTTTCTGTAACTAGTGGGGAGATGTGTTCAGCCTGGCTTCCAGGTCTGGCTGGTATTTCTGTTCCTGATTAGCAGAGAAGTCTGGGCATTAGTCCTCTCAAACTGTACAACACTTGCATCCCTCTCTCCTTGTCCCCTATAGTGAATTTAAAGTTCAGAATGTTTTTTAAATGCCTCACTCTTATTCCCATTTGGGTAAAATCTGTTACAGCAGCTTCCAGCAGATGAAAATTAAAATGTTGCTTTTGAAAATTCTTCGCTTATTCACAGACCTTTCAGCCTTGCAGTGCTCCTTTAATTTTGAACTAGATTTGCAAACTGCTGTAAGTATGAGGTGAAGTTGTTGATAGCATATATCTCTCTTCCTTTCATTTAGTGAAAAATAACAGATTATGTATGAGGAGGTCACTTTATATTTTGCTTTTCTTGTTGGTTTTCCTTTTCAGTTGTTGGCAGTTGCAATTCTGTGGCCCTAAAATCAAACAAAGTGATTTTCCTTCCACAAAAAATGCCACTTCCATTGCATCAAGCAGAAGTGGTTTAGAGTAAATGTCCACAGCGTACATGCGCAGCTTTATCCCATCTGATTTTTAAATAGTTAACTGTGTATACCTCTGGTTCACAATCCTATTCCAAAAATACCTGTGTTTTATCCTTATCATATTGCCCAGCTAACAGTAAGAAATAGGCTCAAGTGGCTCAGTACGGATTAGATTCGCCTCTTACGCAACAGGGTACGAGATCCAGGGAGAAGCCAGAGACCTGCCTTGGGAAGAGCTCCGTCCTCTGTAGGCCAGGGAATCCCATGGCAATATCCCTTGCGTATGCTGACAGTACCAGGATGCTTCCCACTGACTTCCCTGGAAGAATGCTGTGCCGGAGAGGCATTCATTTGCTTAAGGCCAGGATGAATAAGGTCTAGAGGTTTCTGATATTTCTCATAAATCACTCAAAGTTTTAATTACATTTTATGTGATCATAATTAACATTTATTTTTATTTCATTCCTCTCAAGGTTACGAGCTCTGGCATACTTGGTAAACAGGACAAGCGTCTACAGTTGTTTCTTCCAAATGTGGCTGAACAGATCCAGCCCATGGGAAAAGCACCCTCACCGCTTCCCCAGAAGAACATTTCGCCAACTTACAGTATTTTCTGCCATGTTGATCCTTATGCTGTTTTCATGAGCTGTTTTTACCTCAGCCTCAGCATATGTTTCTTCCCCTTCTCCACCTCTCCCTCCTTTCTACCCACGTTCCCAAAAAAATCAAATACCTTCCCTCTCTCAGACCTGCATATCAAGTCAGATGGCGGTTTTGTCAGACACCATATGTCTGTTCTTGTGTCCTGAGTTGTGCTCCTCCTCAGTTGTCCCCGTTCACCTTCAGTCACCAAGTTCTTCCACCAGAAAATGTTTTGATCATTTACTGCCAACACTGGGAGTTCAGGTATTTTGTAAACAGCAATATATCACAGCCCACAGCAAGGAATTTGGATTCCACACATCAGCTTGGTAGTCTTCAGTCAAAGATATACCCCAGTGCAAAAACTTTTTTGGATCTTCTCATGGCTACAGTGGCACCACATGAATTAAATTAATAGCTTATTTAATTGCAGTTAGTGAGGAAAATTTTGGGCCTAGTTTCTAGACTTTCTATGTAATTTAGGGGACAAAAAACGATTCATAGAATCAAAAAATGTTTGGTTTCCTGCTCCCACCGTAGACTGTACTCTTGTTAGGGAGCCGGAGGGACATACTGTGTGAAATTGCCTGATGTGGCTTTGCAAGCAGACCCTAGATTAAACATTGTGGAGTGTTTCTTCCTCAAGTCTAAAATGACGGTCCTGCTAGTCTTCAGCAGGTTGCATGCAGTTGAGCTTTATAGTACACTTCCTTGGCAGGTATTATCACACTTATTTTGTAGCTAGATAAACAAAGACATTCGTCCAAAAAAACTCAGGGACAACTACAAAAAAGTAGCCCAATGTGTGCTGTCCTTCTCTTGAAGCCACATTAAGATTTCCTGCAAAACCCTGAGCTTTCATAGTGCTCGACTACCCTGTAAGACCTGGGCAGAATGAAGCAGCAAACTCCCTTTCATGAATGGGGGAAAATTCATTCCCAGATGAGGATCCCAGATGAGACATATCATATTGGTCCTCCTGAGCCCTATTTTGCTGTCTGGAAGTGATGTGAGAGCCTTTTATCAGCTCTCTGCACAGAGTGACTCATCCCCAGAGCATCATGTCCCTCGTAAAGATAGATGTTCAAAGCCTACCTGCTCAAAACCTAACCTATAAGGCAGCGAATGCCAGCTGCTAACCAGCTCTTGAGTCTCACTTTAGTTTCCACAGCCCCCTTGGCATGATGAAATACAAAATATTTGTTCATATGCTAAACCCCAGCTCTGATTGAAAAAGATCTTTCAGTCATACCTACAATATATAGGAAAACACTGACTCGGATTCAAAAGTGCCTCTTCTCATAGGACCCTGAATATCCAAAGGTGAAATAAAGGGCGGGTTAGATTTGTTATAGCTTTTTTTTTTTTTTTTTGGTCAACTATTCAGTGTTGCTGCTCTTCATTATTTTTTTTATTCTTTTGAAAGCTTTCAAGCCTCCCTGCATAACCGCCTCTGCTCCATTCACTGCTGAATGGACGGTGCGCTGATCTTTTTCTCGGTGGGTAATGGATTTGGTTTGATTGCTTGACAGAGGAACAATAGGGGGATAAACAATTGCATTCGTGCCCGCGCAGCTCCCCATCTGTTGAGCGTGTGCGCCTTCAGAGGGAGCCGGGCAGGGACAGATGAACGCGCCAGCCCAGCCTGATGTTAATGGCATCAGTCATACAAGCAGAACATGTGGCGCAATAAATCAAAAACTAATTGAACTTTGGCTTGATTATATTGCTGTCCCAGCACCCGTTTCAGACACGGCACGGTTTCTCCTGGGACAATGCCCCCAGCCCTGCAATGGCTTTCCTGCCCCTGGACAGCAGGAGGCTGCTGTGGGAGGTGACAAGCAATACCAGCTTCTCTTCACTTGTTTCTTTCTTGAAACAGTGACGCTTGCCACTCAACCAAAATACTTCCAGGCTCAGGATGTGTATTTGACCAATATTTATTATTTCAAAGAAGAAATGTTACATGAGCATGACAGTGTCAGCCCATGTTTGCTGGCACTTTCCATCTGGGACTCTTGGTGGCAGACGTCTATAGGAGAAGACAGCACTACTTTTTGTGTTAATTACACACACGTGCTAGTAATGAAAGCTATTCATTAGAGTGATATAATTTAATATCATTATTCACACTTGAAAGTGTTTATACTGCATCAGTTGCTGGAGCCTGCACACCAAAATTTTTGTGCTTAGGTGTCCATGGCAGCAGTAAGTCACCAGAAGTTGAGGGCAATGATTTTCATAGATGTGGAAGGGAACAATTTCTGATAAGAGCATTAAAAAATGAAAAGCTTTGGCAAGAAGACCCTTTATTGAAGTGCGTAAGTATGGAATTATGCCCCAGAACCATCAAGTTATGTAGGAACCCATCTGTGACGGAGCCACCTGCCCTCCTGCTGCAGACACTGTGTAGGGGCATATAGACCCATGTACGTGCCTCACGTATCCTTCTTTAGTGATCTGCATTTGAAATTTTACACTGAAGTGCCCCGGATTCAGATATCAGTTTATGAACTTAAAAGATAAAGCACAAAATACTTTTCTTAATACACCTAGAATCAGCTCCTCATTATATGGGAGGACCAAATTTTTGTGATAAATATGTTCAAGTACAGAAAGTATTAACCCAATTTATTATAAAAATCTTTGCAGTACTTCTGTATATGTTTATTTGCCTGTACATTGGCTACACAGTACAGACTTTATTTATTAGCCATTTATTGCAGAGGATTCTCCAGACTGGTAAAAGGAGACGTAAAATAAAACGCTCCTATCTGAGCAGAGGCTTAAGTAACAGCTAAATTAAGTCTTTGCATTAATAGTATTCATAGAAAGGCAGATGGGAGCAGAAAATGTTGCAATGAAGAATATGGAATGAGATGAGATCACAGCATCAGTCTGTCCTTTGTAGATCTGGACAATGATCACAGAGCCAGATTGGATTAGTGAAACCTATTTACCAGAAGTTCAGAGCGGTTGCATGAAGCTGAAAGGCAGTCAGGAGGGAGCGGTGGAAAATGCACCAGATTTACAGCTGCAGCGACGAAAATTTAGAAGTTTTCACCACTGTGATTTCATCCAAATGTGAGTACACCAAAGCTGTAACAACCGCTACGGCGGCGTCTTTTAGATGGATGGGGGTGTTTAGCACCAGGGAAATCTTTGAAGCGAGCAGCTCATCTCTTCTGCCGTGCCGTGCCGTGCTCCGCTTGCAGCCCGGTGCTCGCCGCTTGTTTCTGGAGCTAATCCGTGCAGGTGCTTTGACATTGTGGCTGTGTAAAATCTTTGCGCCAGCAAAATTGGGAGATCTGGAATCGGTGTTGATATACCTATGAGGTAATTGCTAAAGTGACAGCTTGCAACTGTGTGGCTATTCTGTGTAATAGAAAAGAAAATGAAGTTCTGTGAGCAGTTTTAGCAGCTCTGATGAACTGGGTGGACTGCATGAATGTTGAATTTAAGTCTGTGGCTCAATAAGTGGAACATTTCCAAAGCCATGCCCTGGAAATGAATGCATGATTAACATTAATTGCTTGTAATGAAGAGTAAGGACCGGACAAAGCCCAGTCTGCATTTGATTGAACAAATTAGTTTAAACTCAATAGCTGCATATTTCAGCAACAAGAAAAAAAAAAAGCAGGTAAAATCAGGGAAAACAAATTGTGGGGCCAGATCAGATCTTTACTTGCAAGCTGCGAGCATGAGCTCTCAGCTGCTTAATTTCAGAATATAAGTGGAAATGACAGAGTGAACTGTCACTGTAATTGGTTTTGTTGCCTGAAAGCCGAGCTGTACACACAAACATCCTTTTGCAGGCAAATCCAGAAACATCATCTGCAAGGATCCATTCTTCCCTTCCTGCTCGCACTCCCTGCAGAAAATCGTGTTTGCAGGGAGAGCCCTGCAGCCCCACTGTTTGCATTGCTGCCATTGTGTTCCTGCGCAAACGGGTCACTTCTGGCTACCTCCGTGATTCACTCCGCTTTCAATGGCTATTCAAGAAATTGCATGTTTGCTGGTGCTGTGACTTCCCTGTCATGCCTTGCCTTTCTTCAGCCCTGTAAGCCATTTGTCACTCACGCCAGCAGATGACAGCCAGTGAGTTGGACTGTGGATCACGCATATTCTGAAAATACGCAAATTTATTACCTGGGCACGTTTATGTGTTGTTCCTTGTGCGTCGGGCTGGGTACCAATAACAGCACAATAGTATTTCCTTCTGGTAGAAATCCATGTAAACTGTGTTTTTCACACTGTCTGGTAAAATACATATAATACCAGAGAGACGTGAAAGATGATTCCCTGCATCACTAAACTTTTCTGCACTTGAGTGTTTTGCTTGTGAACAATTAGTTTAGTCTTCACATGATCGAATTCCAGAAGTGAGGGTAATTGCAGCAGCTTCAAAAGCAAGTTACAACATATTCCTAGGGAAAAAAAAAAACGCCTTCATTATATTTGTCTGGTTTTCGTCCCACACTCACCATGGTTTACAATATAAAACGTGTCCTGCAGGAGAAGGCAGTAGAGATCCCTGAGGATACCATGCTGTGCAAAGCAGACCGTAATCAAGCTGACAGCACACTCTCAAGCTCTGCACAGGCAGATGACAACTTACTTGTGATGAGTTCAGCGTGGAAGTACCCTGGCTGGCAGGGACCCTGGTCAGGATTTGTCACCTCCCGTGTTACTGTCCTGTTTTCACTGTCGGCAGTGTTGGCCAACACTTGATTTCTAGCCAGCGGGGTCCTGATGCTCAGCATTTATATCCTCATTGGGGTATTGAGGGGTGGCTATAAGACAAACACAAGCTGTCTAGGAAGAATAACTTTTGTGCCACTGCCAGCTCTGCTTGTCCCAGAGCCCTGGAAATCCTGGTCACTTGTTATTCCTGCCATCAGAGGAGAGGAGTTTGGCTGCAGAAATGAGTGGCCTTGAGTGAACTCCAGCTGCTTCCACAGCTTCAAAACTCTGAACTCCAGCTGCTTCCACAGCTTCAAAACTCTCTGCAAATATTACTACATAGCAACGACAAGCACTGCAGCTCCTGGAGTTGAACGTATGTCAAAAAATGTAAAAGGAAAGCTCACCTGGAGAGTAAGAGTCACCTGGCATCCCATAACAAACCTTCCTGGCCCTTCAAAGCCTTTGAATTATACTTGAAGCCTGAGTAGGAAACCTCCATTCACATGCCTTGCCCTCAGGGTCAGCCTTTAGAATTGGAGTTAATTCTCCAAATTTGGCAGTTTTTTGCAAGCCTATTTCTGTCACTGGCTGCTAAATCCTGTCATCATGACTCCTGTATCCTGAACACAGGGGAAGGTAATAATTTTAAAGGCCAAAGGATAAGATATGATGAGAGAGAAGTGGGAGTATCACTGAGTTTTTCAGGCTAGTTTCAAGTCAAACTGAAAGAAGATGTTTAAACAATCTTCACTTTGTACAAAAAAAAATCACCCAAAACCAATTACTTCAGTGTGACTGCAGAGTCCAGTCAAAAGCTTGGCTTATGGTCCTGGCGTCTTGTGCGTTCAGTGGATAGCAATGCTGTTTTGCCTGTGATTTTGGTGTCTTCTTGGGTTGAAGGAATAAAATTGAGAAGCAAACTTTAGGCAAAATGCCCCATCATGTTAAAGAACTGAATGGGTTGTTTTGAGGACTGAAAAGAAAAAGGTTAGACTTAGTGTAAATGCTGTGCTTTGGACATCACACAGAAAAACTGAAATGACATTGTGAAATAGTCTGAGCTTATTGAAAAAAAAACATATTTTGATAAAATGTTAGCCCTCTTCAAAGTTAACCTGTACACTAGTCAGGTATGAAGGTGACTGGATGGAAAGAGAAGCTCATTTTCTTCTGAAACATCAGCAAGTGGAAGACCAGATGAAAGCTCAGGTAGGAGAAGGACAGTTCCTCCTGGAAACCCGTGGGAGAAGTGCAGGAACTTGAGGAAAGATGCTGCCCTGTGCCCACAGATATCTCCCTTGTATAGCTAGAGCATGGTCTCTGAAGTGACATTAAAAAAGGACTTTCTTCTGGGTTGTTTTAGCTGGAATCCTCCTTAAATCCTTTCTTCTTCCCCTCCTTCCCTACCATGCCCCCAGTGCATTCTCAGGGAGAACTTTGAGAGACATGTGTAACTGAATCTCACTGCCATAGCACACCTACAGCATCTCAAAGAAATGAGAAATTGCTTAAAAATACTGAAATGAAGTGTGGAGGGAGGTTCTTTCCAAGAACAGCAGAGTTATTTATCTAACACCAGCTGTTTTCAGTCCTCTCCCTTTCTGTTCCTTCCTGGTACAGGCTGTATGGGGGCTCAGAGAAGAGCCACCACCCTCATGTGCGGAGCCTCAGGACCAGCGTCAAACACCAGGACCCTCCTCGGAGGCTCTCTCCTGAGTCGTGACCTCTTGCCTCACCACCCACGTGAGGGTCTGCTTATGGTCTCCTAATGTCTCACCCTTACCAGTGTTTTCAGCAGGCATCGCTATTGAATGTGTTCCTTGGGCTTGTCCATCTCCACTGCACCCTGACCGTATTCCTGTTCTTCCTTTCACAGCATGTAGCCCTGCCCGAAGAAGAGCCAAAAGTACGCAGCACATCCTAACAAAGAGCGTAAGAAAAATCTGCTTTTCTCTCCCTCTTTCTCTCTGCCTGTTTTGTTGTTGTTGGTTGTTTGTTTTTTTTTAATTCTAGTTGGCTAAACTTATCCTTAAAACTGCCATGGATGAATGGGAAGCAGATATTGCACGGCAAAGAAGTGCATCGGTGTCTGATGGAGGGAGTGGGGCAGGAAAAAGAAAAGAGAGTTTCTGTAAAGCTACAGTTTAGCTACAGAAGCACTTTGAAACTTCAAAAAATAAGGTCTGTCTGTGCAGAGCCAGTCAAAATGAACATAGCTGTTTATCAACACGGGTCATCTGAGGGAATCACAGACCTAATTCTTTCCATAAAACGCTAATAATAGTGCCAGAGGCACAGGCAGGATGAAAAGCAAACAAATCATATCAATACATACATGCAGTAATCGAGGAGCCAGTGTCACATTCCCTGGGGAATTTGGGATAAAACCACCAGGCAACAGACTGTAACCTTGACTCAAAAAAATGTCTCTGAGAGCCACAGGAGGATGTCCCTTGATCCCAGCGGCTCTTGCCTGTCCTTGACTCATCCCGATGCATCGGCACAGAGGGCACAGCCGGTGCTTTCCTCACTCCCTCTAGGTGAGGTGCCCCCCGAAATTCAATAAGCCAAGCTCCCAAATGGAAGCATCCCTGACTCCATTTTCTACTCTGCCTGCCCTTCACAAACACAGAGAAAAACTAACAGCTGAGCTCTCTCTCGGTAGGTGATTCCATATTTTTAATCCCAAAGCCAAGGTGTGCACAGCCCCAAAGAAGAGCCATTCCCCCTTTGCTCTCCCACGGCTGCTCCTGGGGCACGAGCAGGAGCTGGGGCATGCTCCTCATGCAAAGGAGCCAGCCGAAGGGCACAGGGCTGACCTGCAGCTAAAGAGGTCCTTTCCTCCATACCCAGCCCCACCACCCAGCACAGCCCTCTCGTCTGTGGCACTGTGCTGCGCTGTCTTGGCTTCTTTCTCCTCCCTCCCCGTTTTCCCTTCACTGTATGAGGGACTGTTGTTCCCTGCAGTTGTCTTCAATAGGTCTGTAAATATTTTTGCCCTCGATTATTATGACTAAATAAATAATAATAACAGCAACAGTAAAATAACTGAACATTTTTCATGCACTGAGAAAATGTTTTTAGCGTTTGGACACTTCCACTTCAACACATTGGTTTGGGCTTGAGGTTTCTTGTCTTCAGAGCCAGTTTTCCCTCCTTAAATCTGCTTGGCCCACTCACAACCCCTTCCACGATGCTCTTATCGCAATCCTGACTTGCAGGAATGACAGGCTCTTTCTCTTGTGCATATCCAAGCACTTTTTACAAGCTTTGAGACTCTTCTGCCAAAGCATTTATTCTCACTACAGACCTCTCTTCTCTGACACTTTGATGAAATATTTTGCTCGGTGGCCTTTCCTTTTCCCATGCCCTACCCTACTTCTCAGCCTTATCCTTATCCTATGGGGAACTGTTGGGCAAAATCAAGTGGAATAAGAGAGTGTACAGATTATGGAAGGAGGGGCAGGCCACTTGGGAGGAATATAGGTCTGCTGTCAGAGGATGTAGGGAGACAACAAGGAAAGCTAAGACCTCCTTGGAATTAAACCTTGCAAGAAAGGTCAAGGACAACAGAAAGGGCTTCTTCAAATACATTGCAGATAAAACTAACACTAGAGGCAATGTAGGCCCACTGGTGAATGAGGAGGGTGCCCTGGTGACAGAGGATAAGAAGGCAGAGTTACTGAATGCCTTCTTTGCCTCAGTCGATACTGCTGGAGGCTATCCTGAGGAGCCCCGGAACCCTGAGGCTCCTGAGGAAGTCAGGATAGAGGAGGAGTCTACTCTGGTTGATGAGGACTTGGTTAGGGAACAGTTAAGCAACCTGGCCATCCATAAATCCATGGGTCCTGATGGGATGCACCCACGGGTGCTGAGGGAGCTGGCGGATGTCATTGCCAGACCACTCGCCATCATCTTTGCTAAATCGTGGGGAATGGGAGAGATGCCTGAGGACTGGAGGAAAGCAAATGTCACTCCAGTCTTCAAAAAGGGCAAGAAGGAAGACCCAGGTAACTACAGACCGGTCAGCCTCACCTCCATCCCTGGAAAGATAATGGAACAACTTATCCTTGGTGCTGTCTCTAGGCATATCAAGGATAAGAGGGTCATTAGGGGCAGTCACCATGGCTTCACTAAGGGGAAGTCGTGCTTGACAAACCTGATAGCCTTTTATGAGGACATCACCCCGTAGGTGGATGATGGTAGAGCAGCAGATGTGGTCTATCTTGACTTCAGTAAAGCATTTGACACAGTCTCCCACAGCATCCTCACAGCTAAACTGAGGAAGTGTGGTCTGTATGATCGGATAGTGAGATGGATTGTGAACTGCCTGAAGGATAGAAGCCAGAGAGCAGTGATCAATGGGACAGAGTCCAGTTGGAGGCCTGTATCCAGTGGAGTCCCTCAAGAGTCAGTACTGGGACCAGTATTGTTCAACATATTCATCAATGACTTGGATGAGGGAATAGAGTACATGGTCAGCAAGTTTGCTGAGATGACACTAAACTGGGAGGAGTAGCTGACACACCTGAAGGCTGTGCTGTCATTCAGAGAGACCTGAACAGGCTGGAGAGTTGTACGGGGAGAAATTTAATGAAATACAACAAGGGCAAGTGTAGAGTCTTGCATCTGGGTAAGAACAACCCCGTGTACCAGTACAAGTTGGGGACTGAACTGTTGGGGAACAGCACAGAGGAAAGGGACCTGGGGGTCCTGGTGGACAGCAGGATGACCATGAGCCAGCAATGTGCCCTTGTGGCCAAGAAGGCCAATGGCATCCTGGGGTGTATTAGAAGGGGTGTGGTTAGTAGGTCGAGAGAGGTTCTCCTCCCCCTCTACTCTGCCCTGGTGAGGCCGCATCTGGAATATTGTGTCCAGTTCTGGGCCCCTCAGTTCAAGAAGGACAAGGAACTGCTTGAGAGAGTCCAGCGCAGGGCCACAAAGATGATTAGGGGAGTGGAGCATCTCTCTTATGAGGAAAGGCTGAGGGAGCTGGGTCTCTTTAGCTTGGAGAAGAGAAGACTGAGGGAGGACCTCATTAATGTTTATAAATATGTAAAGGGTGACTGCCATGAGGATGGAGCCAGGCTCTTCTCACTGGCATCCAATGATAGGACAAGGGGAAATGGATATAAGCTGGAACATCAGAGGTTCCGCTTAAACATGAGGAAGAACTTCTTCCCAGTAAGGGTAACAGAACACTGGAACAGGCTTCCCAGAGAGGTTGTGGAGTATTCTTCTCTGGAGATGTTCAAAACCCACCTGGATGCGTTCTTGTGTGATCTGATCTAGGTGGTTCTGCTCCAGCAGGGGGATTGGACTAGATGATCCTTTGAGGTCCCTTCCAATCCCTAACATTCTGTGATTCTGTGATTCTGTGATCCCTATTTGTAAATAGCCTTCTCTTCATATTCCCGATTCCCTAATCTTCCCTCAGCAGCGTGGGTCTCTCCTGCTTACCACACTTACCCAGGCACTGGGAAAAAAACCTTGCCACATTACTTCCATCCTCTCTCTTGATTATTAAAGCAGATCACAGGATCCCAATACTTCACAGGATGCCTGAAGTCACCTCCAGGAAGGATCAATAACACTCTTGTCGTGTTTGAGTAAAAACTATGAATCTGTGTATTTTCTCAAATTGTGAAAAATCTTATTTTTGTCCCATAACTCAGGCTCAGGTTTCACAATTACTTCATTCCAAATGAGGATGAAAGTCAGTGTCAGTGTCGGATCGTTACTCAAAATAAGCCATTTTGAGATACTCTGTCTTTATTTGTTATGCCTTTGGTATATTTTTTTTGTCCCATAATGTAAAAATAGCAGAAAAGTCCAAACCAAAAGTGAACTATTCTGACTTAATAAAACAGAATGCTCAGATTATTTCTCCATTTTTTGACAAAATAAATACTTTTCCAACGAAATGCCTAGATTTCTTCTAACCAGAATTTTCGCATAAAACTACTCATCTGGAAATGTTTCAGCTAGCTCTCATCAAAATCTAGGGCAACTGTATGTCTGTTATCATGTTCCGAATCTCAGCAGATAGTTGTTGTTTCTGCTGAGTGGGAGCCTCTAATATTTAATTTGGATGGGATCAGCTGCTGTAGCAGCACAATACTCATAAAGGTCTAAGAAAATAAGATAAGAAAGTCCCTGTTTTCTTGCTGTATTTTTAGAGGATTTTTTTTCCTTTGGGGCTTTCCTGACCCCAATTAAAGATGTCCTTTGATTGGCCCTTAGTCATGATGCAGGCAGCATCATATTATCAGTGAGAGCACCAAGCCTGAGGAACGGTCTGCAGCTCCAGCTAAGAAAACAAGCAAGGCTCTCAAACCAAAGCAATTGGCACGGTCAGCTCTTGGACTTGTGTGTTTTCCTTCTTCAGTATGATGCAGCTGCTTACAGCTCATGCGCAAGCAGTCAAATAAATTGCACGTACTGGAATATATGTGCCTGGGAGGAAGTTGTGATTGCCAATTTCTAGACCCACAGAAAAGTAGCAGAATGATTATTTATTTTTCACTTTTACCTCTGCACCTGCAGTCAGAGCTGTAGAAATGCCTCAGCTAACATGAAATCTTCTGCTCTGGTGATTGCAGTGGATGCACAACTTTAATCCGCAGCAAGGGCAAAAATAGCAAACAACGTGGACATCTGCCAGACCTTTTTTTTTTCAGCAGAAATGCTCAAGCAGTGTAGCATTAAGTGATTTAGCACTCAAATGACTGACTTTGGGGGGTAACTTCCATCTCATTCAAGAACTCATCCCAAAAAGCAAGATCGTGACTATGGAAGGGTGAGAGAAAGGGAGAAACACCTTCTGTTTTTTGAGTGTTTCATATGTTTTTTGCAGCTCCTATTGCCCTGTTTAGAGTTATTTTCAGTGATAGTAGATCCTTCTCTTCTCTTCCCTTGCTCTTCTAGCCCCAAAATCTTTTGGGTGGAACTGCCCGGACACCAGTACCTGGCTACTTTGCAGAAAAATTGCAAATCCCTCTGTGAATGCTAGCGCTGCCACGTTAAAAACTAGATCAGCTTTAGACCATCAGAAAGAGCTTAACTCTACAAAACTGACATTTCCTCCACTAACAAACACTACATCGTTCAGGCTCTAAGCTTCAAATTTTTATCCAAAGCCAGATATTTAATTGTCACTTTTTCTGGTTGATTGTTGGTTTGGCAGTGGGATTTTGGGTCCAGGAGCAGTGTTGTTGGAACAGTCTCGGTGCTGCTCTGCTCCTGTGTCCTCTGTGCCCCCTGCTTAACATGGCAAATTCCAACAGCAAATATGCCAGAACTGGGTGCTCTGATGTGCACAGTAAAGTCCACAAAAAAGAGACTTTACTGAGCTCTGAATTCAGAGTCAACATCTTGCAAACAGACTGAGCTGATCAAGGGACTTGCAGGCTCAAAAAATAATAGTTTTTTAGCGAGCAGTTTACTGGTTTTGCATAGTTTGGCTGAGTCTGCCATTCACACAGATTTCCTGGTACATCTAGAAGTGACAAGTGGCTTCAAGCTGATCCTTCTGCCTTACCCTAGGTACCCTAGAGAAATGTCAGCTCCAGTTTAGATCAAAACTGTGCTGCAGTAGGTTTACTTCCCTGACCTAGATAAGTCTTTACGTATTACAGTAATGGGTGAGGTAGCCAAAGTCACGGTGAAATCTTAAATTAGGAGACAAGGAACTCCAAAAGTATGCTACAGTCAAATGTTGCAAACAGAGATGTTCACTGAAGATGTGCTATAGAGATTGCACTGTTGTCTCCAACTGTAATGGAAAATGGCACGGTAACGTATTTATACAGCTTCTGCTGCTTGAAGGCATTTTGGCACTACTGATACAACATGTAACAAGGAAATCTTGAAAACATAGACAATGTGCCTAAATAATTCCTGCTAAATGAAGGAAGCTTTTAATGAAGCTAAAAATCCTGCTTCCTTTCCCCAAACTAAATTTCATCCTTCGCAGCACATAGGCAGATTGTTAAGTTTCAACACTATGGTGGTTTACACTGATCAAATAAGCAACTTTCAGGATTAGAGACGACTGCAGCCAGCATCCTACTTACCAAAAATGCGCTTTCCATCACCATGCAAAAGAAGCAACCTCAGGTGTCTCAGTAGCAGAGAGTTGATGACATTTTCTGTCACACACCAAAGAAGACCGAGTGTGACCAAGACCACTGAGCATATTTCCAGAGCCGGTGGAAAAAGCTGAGCTTTGTGGCATTCCTTGAAAGCTGGAGGAGCTCAGATTCATGGGAGGCAGACTCCAAGGGCTGTCATGAGACACTCCTGCCAACCACCGCCTCATTGTATTTCTAATGAAGGCAGGTGTCTCCACCGATGCCACTGTGGTAAGCAGCTTGCAAGGTTCAGATGGTCAGGATGTGCATGGACACAGAAGCCTGCAGCCTGCGAGGAGCTGCTGCAGAGGATTGAGGAGGTCCTGAAACGGGTCCAGAGGCAGCTGGGAGGGAGCCAAGGCCAACTGCTGAAGTGACAACAGGAAGCCTCTCACCACCAGCATCGTCCTCGTTTCTGAATTATGGGAGTGATGCTGAGGCTCAGTTCGGTCTGATAGCGCCAGATTCGTGGTCGGTAGAGCTGGGCCCCAGCTGCAGCCTCCTTTAGCACATGCTTGTCTTGAAGGGCACCAGTAGTGTCTTTGACTTTAACTTAACACTGGGCACGTCCTTAAGTAGCTTACAGAGCGGGGACTGTGTTAGGCTGGGTGCCAAAATCCACAGAACTAAAAGAAAACCCGTCTTAGGTCTTGTATTAGGCTTCGGTTGCCTCACCGGCCCTTTCCAGCAGCATTTTTACCTGCTGTTGGGCAGAGTCTGCTCCTTGTCCTGCTGCTCAGTAGGATCTAGGTCATGTAGCCTTCTCCAGATTCCTGAGGGTACATGGAGTCAAAAGAGTAACAAGTGGTCAGGTTGGAGTATTTCTGTTTTCCTGTTTTGGAAAACATTGGTTTGCATGTGTTTTTATCTCTGTGTAAAAATTCACATACACAGAATATTGCAAATTAATGGCAAATTGGATTAAATCTTACTTAAAGAAAATGGACAATTTTGTGTGAGGGGACATGCCTGAATGCGGTCTTGTTTTTATCTTGAGTGTACATTAGAAGGCAGAACAATAGATGGAATTAAGGCTTTTTCTAAGCCAATAGAGAGTTGATCAGCTGCTGGTCTCAGTCTTGAAATAAAATAACTGTATTTATGTATAAAACACGTAGATTGCAATTACCAGTCATCAGTTAGACACAAGTATCTGTTTTTCTCCTGGTCCTCCAACGTAAGATCAACATAAATTAAGTCTAATAGGAAACAGTCTGAATAGTTGCCACGTGTCTTGTTTCCGTGCTGGTTTGGATCTTCACCCTGTTCAACTGGTTCTCTGTATGACAGTAGCAAGTCTTCAGAAATTGAAGTGTGAAACACTCTTTCCCTGCTGTCGGGACTTTAATCTTCTTGAGAAAATTTTTTCCAGACCATCCTGGGTAACAGTGCTGATGGATCCACCTGCTTGGAGCCTATCCCTGATTTTTAAGCTCACCGTAGCTCTGGCCTCCCCAGTTGCCTGTGGCAGCACAGCGAGTGCCATGGCTTAGTCGAGATCAACGTAGGAAAGGATCTTGTTCATGCTCTTTTTCAGGGATTTTGCTTGAGATATAGGGGGTCTAACTTTCAAAGGGGCAGCTCTCAGTGAGTTTTGTTTGTGCGAGCGAATGTTTGCAAAAATTAATCTCTAGGAGCACAATTATTCACTGCCTTGTATCCTCTGTGGTCATCTACCAGGTATAAAATGTAAATAAATCCAAAAGACAGGAGAGGCCATGAAGAAGCAGCATTTGTAATTCAAATAGCATAAGTTTAACTGGTTGCCCAAGATATGACACAATAAGAAATTAAATTCGAGCTGTCTCAAAGGCATATCCTATTCAGTAGATCTTGAAAAGAATCACATTTCAGTCTCCTGAGGAGAATACAGAAAGGTGCACTAAATAGCTGGGTCCCAGAAAGACCCCACATGATTTTCCCATATTTTCATACATTTAGTACATGGAGACAGGGGCCAAACAAAACCAACCCCGCAAATCCCACAATCCTCACCCCAAAAAAATCTCCTTCAGATGACAGCAAAGCAGTGGAAGGAGTAAGCTCCATGCTGCTCCCCTGTGACCTCAACAGACCGCCTCATCTCCAAGGCCGAGTGTAACAGGGTAGTTTTGCCTCTTCCCTATAGGTGGTAGCCATATCTGATCACCGACCCCACAGGACGGAGAAGGTGCAGCCCCACCAGAGTGACCTCCTCCGAGTGCTGTACAGCCAAGACGAGGTGCAGGGCTTGGGCCGCCTGCCAAGCGGGCAGCGGGGACCCTGCCCTGACCAGGGTGCTGCCCAGCGTGGTAAGTCCACAGAAGCGGTTTTGCTCCTCCGTGGCTTCAGAATATTTTTAGATATTGCAGTCTTCCAGTTTGCAGCGAAGCGGGTGCTTTGTTATGTACCTGAAGGATACTGCCATGCTTAAAATGTCTAGTGGAATTAATGAGATAACGACCAGGGCATTGCAGAGCTCTCGCTTTATTCAGAGTCATAAACTCACTTTATTTGGAGTCATAAACGTTCCCTTTCTGAAGGCTGACAATATTTTAGAGATGATAGATTGCCAATTACTGAGTTTGCTTGAGTCATTGTATAAGACCCCTGTTCAGTTGCTTAGAACTTGCTAGAACATATTTATTAGGGAAGAAGTTTTAGATTCTGGATGCCAGCCACAAGCCTGATTTTGTTTTCTCTACCAAAACTTGTTCAGCATGTTTGTGAGAACCCGTGAAGGAAAAATAGAGTTTGCCAGTGCAAAACCAAGGAAACGAGTAAACATAAATAGACTGGTCATTCAGCTCCTTCAGCTCTGGTGTGTTATGTTTGGAAGGCCGAAGCTGGAGCAGGCCATCCAGTTTGGCAAGGGGTGGCCTTTCAATCGAAAACGCATCTTTCGCCCTCCCTTGAAAAACCACCCAGATGCAGTCAAGTCATAAGCCTTTGAAAAAATCGCATACGGCACGTGTTTCGCAGAGACATTGGACATTTAGATGTTAAAAGGTGCTGAATCTGTAGAGCAGATACTACCATGAAGGTGCATGTTCTTCACACCACCAGTCTGCAGCTGCACTGCTCATACACCATCCATCTGAACACAGACCAGGCAAGAGTGGGCCTGGGAAACTAGGAAGGAACAAACTGAGCTTGGGACCATAGGGAAAGATCTCAAACTGGGACCAGAGCCAAGACATGGCTGAACAAAGAGCTGGGGCTTTGGGGCTGGAGAGGGGAGAGGAGGAGGAGTGACTGGGACCGGCTGTGGGGCAGTGGGTGACAGAGAGACAGTGGGGAGAAAGGAGGGACTGCTGGTCTCTGCTGTCAGGGACAACAAGAGGTAAAGGATGACAGATAGGTGCAAACAGGAGAAAGGATGTAGGAATCCAAAAAGAAGAGCACAAAAGGAGGAAACAGTTCTCACAGAGGGAGAAAGGGAAGCGATTTGGCAAAGAACCTGCGATGCTGCATGGGAAAGAGGGAGAAATTAAGTTAAAATTAGAACAAAAAAAATAAAACAAAAAGGACTGACTGAAGAGTGGAAGAAAGGAATGAGGAGAACAGGACAGGACAAACTGACCAGGAGCATCTGGACAAGACCAGAGAGCTACTGCAGGGCTGCCTCAGCGTGCACAGCATGGCGAGGTTTTTTGTCGGGTCCCTGTTCCCCCCAGCGCAGAGGGTGCCTGGGGACTGCGGCAGGGCCTCTCCTGCCATTGCTCCCTAAGGTCTGTCCACCACTGCCATCAGGCTCATCAGTGATGCTTGTCACCTCGCACAGCCCATGCATCCCCCTTTTCTGGGTGTCTGCTTCACACCTCCGGCTGCAACACCTGGGAGCGCTCGGTTCCTGCTGCACTAGTGACTGTGCTTTGGCTATGAACGGTGCTACATCCTCCTCAAGCCTCCGAGAAACTGGATCCCAGGAACTTCTGATCTTAAACTCAGTACCTGGCTCTGTTTCCCTGGCATAACTCCTTGTCCTCCAGGAGGTGACAAAGTCGTTTCTTTAAAGCATTTGTGCAGATAATGACAATACAGAAAAGCCAGTGAAAATATTAATAGTTTTTTAGATTCTCTGGTGGGGAAAGTAAGTATACGACTGTGCACTGAGAAATAAAAGCTAAAGATGAACAACTGCTTTCTCAGTGAATGCTGTCTATATGAGTGAAGCAGAAAGTCTGTGGAAAAAATGGTTTCTGGTCACAAATTAGAAACTGAATCTCAATGTCTAGATCCTTGGGGGAATAAAATAACTTTAATCCAATTCTGGTATTTCGTAACTTTTGAGTGCCCGACATTTTACAGATTTAGCATTTTAAGGGGAAGAAAGTAGAAGTGTTTGCAAATATTTGTGTGAAAATAAAAATAGCTTTTTGCTATGATGTGCTGCAGTGTTTGGTTTCACTGCTCACTCTACTAATAATACCTACACAAAGAATGAGGTGCCATGAGATAGTCCAGAAAGGTTTCTCCAGTTGTTTCTCAACAGCTGGAGAACCAGCATAAATTGATATGAAGTGAAGTATATGTATGGATATGTATCATCTATTTTCATTAATCTCTGTACGAATATGACCTCCACATAAATTTTACCCTTCAAGAACATTCTTCAGCTTTCTTACTGGAAATAGTTACGTCTGCAGAGTTTTCCGTGCTTGCTCCATAGATAAGTACAGTTGAATATGAAAGAGACTTCAGATTTTGTAAAGCACAATTTGAAATCTGAGTCATGGAGTGAACAGTTCAACTTTCAGAGGAAGTGAAAAATGCGTAAACAAGAGCATAGATGAGAGCATCAGCACACTTATTGCTAGCATCGGAAAC